AGACACACACACGGACACACATTCAGAGACACACAGGCACACACACACCCCTAAACAGTACCTGAGCGTTGTCAGGTAGCTTTGTTGTTATCTGTACGGTACTTGTGAGGAAACGGAAGCTCCGAGGGGTAAAGAAGCCTGTCTGAGGTCACCCAGCTGGTTAGCAGCAGGGCTGGGGCCAGAATCCATCCTCACATGCTCTTTGTCGAGTTTAAATTTGACTCAAATCATAATAAATGAATAATACTATTAGTGTTTTTACTAGTTTCCTACTGCTGTTGTAACAAATTGCCACAAACTTAGTGATGTAAACACCACAAATGTATTTTCACACAGTTCTGGGGGTCCCAAGGCTAAAATGGGACTTGGGCTACAATCAAGGTGATGGCAGGGCTGTGATCCTTCTAGAGGCTCTAGGGGAAAGTCGGCTTCCTGGCCCTTCCCAGCTTCCGGAGGCACCTGCACCCCTTGGCTCGTGGCCCCTCCCTGCTGCTGCATCTGAGACAAGAGCACACAGTGTCTGCTCTTACTCTCCCATCTCCTTTCTCTGGCTCTGAATCCTTCCCCTTTCACTTATCAGGACTCCTGTGATCTTATGGGACCCCCCTGGATTACCCAGGGTAAGTGCTCTGTCTCACGGTCCTTAACTTAATCACATCTGCGAAGTCCCCTTGCCGTATCAGCTCGCATTTGCTGGTTCCAGGGATGAGGATGTGGCCCCTTTTGGGGCAGTAGGCAGAATAATGATAAATAACAAATAATTTGCTTATAAGAGCAACCCACAGTCTTGCTGGGAGCCTGTGCTGGGACATAATTGGTAGGTCCTTGGGGCATGGTACACCTAAGCTGATGGCACTGGACAGGGGGGCCAGTGTTTCTGCCCTATACTCTTAATTCACAATCTCCTAGTCTGTGATTTTTTTTTTTTAAGATTTTATTTATTTGAGAGAAAGAACACAAGCAGAGGGAGAGAGAGGGAGAAGAAGGCTCCCTGCTGAGCAAGGAGTCCAATGTGGGACTCGATCCCAGGACCCTGGGATCATGACCCGGGCCGAAGGCAGCCGCTTAACCGACTGAGCCACCCAGGCGTCCCTGTGATGTTGTTTAATGTGTAAACAATACAACTATGCGTGTCATGTGCACTCCAGAAGCTTCAAGAGAATGCTCAAGATAGTCGCTCTAAGGTGAGTACAAAAAGGAGCCAAAGCAGATTTTTTAGAGGTGGTTGCAACCTCAGCTCCCAGAGTCCAATCCTCCTTACTTTCTAGGTGACATTACTGGCCCAGAGAGGTAAAATAATGGGCCCATGGTTACCTGGCAAGTCAATGGTAGAACCAGAACTTAAAGTCACATCCTTGACCCCGATTTCATGTTCTTTCCATGTCATATGCTTCTCTAAAAGCTGCTCCAATATGTCCACCAGAGACCACCTACTGTGGTAGCCGAGCTTGTCCATCAGAGAGCTCCTAATGCCGTGGACATGGACTTGCACCCCTGCGAGCACGGGCTGTACTGGGACAGCTTGGCAGGAACCTGTCCAGTGCAATCTTCCACAAACACAAAACAGCTCTGTACCCTTCTACTTTGACCTTACCATCTGCATGGATTTTGCCTCTAACACCAAGCTGCATCAAGTCTGTTTCAATGTAAAAATGTGTTTCTTTTTTTGCCAAGCTTTTTAGAGAAAGGACACTTGGGGAAGGTGTCCTGGGTTTCTACTATGGTTCCAAATACTGCCCACAAACCTGGCTTGAGCAGCACAGCCTTCTGAAAATCCTCCAGGCTTATCACTTGGCTTTAAATTATTTATTATAAGCAGGACAGTCAATTCATCTCCTGGCCAGCAATTTTCCCTTTTTCTGACCAAATGCCTTCCTTTAAATACCTGCAAGTCCCCGTCTCTGCTTTGAGAGGGTTTGATGAGAATAAATGACATGAAGCCTCCACGTCTTGGCCCACCTCCAACAGGCTGCGCTCCAGAAGTCAGAGGAGTCTGTTTTTCTCTCCCCTCCTTGTTCTTACTTTTTTTTTTTCTGTTTCTTTTTGTAAAACTCATCTGAAAAGAGGTCTAACAGACATCTGACTTGAATATGGGGCTTTGTAAATATGGCCTCTCTCTTCAAGTCCAGCCTATTTTTCATTAAGGAAACTCAGAGAGAAACTAGGAATGTGCAGTACGGGTCACTTCCCCCAGAAGACCTAGAGAGGCAAAATGACTAGATAGAGGCTAATGGAGAAAATGTAAATCTGCCAGAAAAGGAGACCCACCGCGGCCTGTGTTGGGAAAGGCCATTCATTGCACATCTCACCAAGCCTTTGTCCTGCGCAGGCAGGGCCCTTGAAACCAGGCATCTCGGGCCACACCCGGGATCTGTACCTTATTAGCTGGGAATGAAAAGAATAGCACCAAGAATGGCAATGATCCCATCACCACTCCCGGCGATGGGGGAAGGCACTATAGGTCTGGAATGTACCAAGCGCTTCACGCCCATCAGTTAATTTTTGCATACCACCACGGGGAGCTTTTTGATTAATCCCTTTTGCCTGGTCCAGGAAAGGGGCTAAGACAGTGAGGCAGAACGCTGCTGTGGGGCCCCACTGGTTCACAGCACCCCCTGAGTCTGCATCCTTGCGGGTTCAGGTCCCTCCGACATTGATGGTGCCCCTGGTCATGGGACTTGTCTTGGCCAATGGGACACTGACAAACGTGCCACGAGCAGTGACTTGACAGGTGCTTGCACGTGGGGTCCTGCCCCTGGTACCACTCTTTGGCACTCTGAGAATCCCGAGGGAAGACTGGGCCGCCCTACATATGGCAGGCTGAGAGGCCATGTGGAGGTGAGATGAGCGGGGCCTGCTGGGATCCCCTGAGACCAACCCAGCTGCCAACAACCAAACAGGTGAGTGAGACCATCTGAAGTCACCCTGCTGCCCGCATTAGAATGGCCCCACCAGCCCAGGGAACGCCAAGCTCAGCAAAACGGTTATTGCTTGAAGCCATTACCTTCCCGTTGTTGTTGTTGTTGTTGTTTTAAATGTAGCAAAATCTAACTGATACAAAGTAATGAAATTAAGCTAGGTGAGTGGGAAAACGCAGTCAGTGTGAACACGCAGCCCTCAGCCTTCACCACTTTGCTGTCCCACGCCTCTGAGCCTCAGTGTCCTTGATGTAAAATGACAAAATAACAGCCCTTCAGCATTAGCAGGTGATCAGAGCAGAAGAAACCACGAACAGGACTGGTTAATTGTAAAACACCACACAAACTCCAATTAACATTTTCTATAGCTAACTCCTTTCTACTTGAATACCAAGACAGAGCAGTAATTTCACCCCAAGTCTGGTTATTACTAGTCCTGAATATTACCTGCCAGCAGAGCAGGGAAGGGACAGGCAGTCTTCTGCCCTGACCTTCCTCAGGCCCTCACTCTCCAGCTTACCTCTCCCTGATGTATACTTGTTGTTTAGCTCACTCCCAAAGCCTGGTGCCTGCAGCACGCAAGAATCAGCAAGGAAGGGAATTAGCCTTTAACAAGCTCACAGGTTACAACAGCATTTGGCAGATTTTATATATACGTATATATATAAAAATATGTGCGTGTGCATATAGACACACACATATACATACGGCATCATGTCAACGTTATGACAGCCCTTCAAAGTAGGTATTGTTATTGCCGTTTAACAAATGGGGAAACTGAGGCTCAGAGTCATTAAGCAACTTGCCAGAAGTCAGTAATGGGCAAGCAGCAGAGCTCCAACACAAAGGCAGACATTTCTAATCCAAACGCTTGCAGTCTTTCCACAAGTGCCTACAAGTAATACCTTACAGACTTGCAATATTTAGAAAAAAAAGTAGGGTTGGTTGGTTGGTAGGCTGGTTTTAACAATATGTTTTGAGGCTCCTGCTCTCTCACACCCCGCAGCCAGTAGCCAGGGGCACCTTGCTGCCTCCTGGCCGCCATCCTGCCCCCCATGGCTCTCTCCCCTGGACAACTGGCACCCTGATCCCACTCCTGCCCTCCTTTAAACTCTTCTCTACGCAGAAGCAGGAGGAATCTTCCTGAAACACGAAACCAGCTCATGTCACATTTCTCTCAACCCTCTTCTGGCTTCCCATCACCCTCGGAACAAATCCCACAGGGCGCTACATGATGTGACCGGCCCCTCTTCAACCTCATCTGCAACCACTGTCCCCCAGCTCACCGAGTTCCAGCCATGCTGGCCCCCCACTCTCCCTTCAATGTACCAAGCACGACTTCATCTCAGGGCCGGTACACTCTTCTCTTGGTCCAGAACCCAACTCCCCTGATATTCACTTGGTTCTCACTCTTGGTTCATTCCAGTCTCTGCTCATATGTTTCCTCCACTGAGTGGTTCTCCTTGGCTGGACTATCTAAAATAGCCCCCACTATCCTCCTGTCCTGCTTCATTTTTTCCCTAGGGCTTGCTACTGCCTACCTTATGTATCCAGTTATGTATCCATCCACCCACTAGAATGTAAGGTACAGGGGTAGGGACTGGGGGACTTCATTCACCACTGTGTCCCCAGCATGGAGAAGAATGCCCGGCACAGCAGGTGATCCATAAACGAATGCTCAGGGAATACATGAAAGAATGAATAAGTCAGAGGCCCAGACAGGAAACACAACCCTCATCAAAAACTCCCTGGAAACCACAGACAACCTTGGAATATGAATTTTATAGTGAAGATGACAAAGCAAAAGGCATCACATACTGAAGACAATCCAGGTCTCTGGAGTTGACTTGGATCTCTCCCACTTAGTATTTCTCAGTTAGCATGCTTGGAGCCTCATGAGTGGTTCATCTCATGGGACTGGCCCCCTTTATGCAGACTTTTTGCATCCTTGGTCCCTGGCAACTCAATACTAGTAGGAGCCCGGTCACGTGACAGCTCCAAACACCCCTCTTAAACACCACCGAAAACCACTTTGAAACACCCCTGAGGATCATGACCAGCTCTGCCTTGGTGAAGGCTCACCTCCATCCACGCCCATGATGAAGCGTCCCATAATGAGCATTTCGAAGACTCCTGCCTGCAGAGAACAGGCCATCAGCAATGCAGCAGAAATTGCAAACCCATTGTTGACCAGCAGAGTGTACTTCCTGGAAAAAAAGGGTGGTTTGATGAGAAGGTCCATCATGAGGAGGTCAACCTACCCATCCAAGGAGTAGGGGTCAGGCCCTTCAAAATGGTCAGCAGAGCAAGACTCAGGCACAGTAGAAAAGCGTTGGCCTAAGGGTCAGGAACAGGGGCCAGAGCCCCAGGAGCCCCCACTGCCCCCTTTGGCTGTGTGACCCTGACCAAGGCATCCCTTCCTCTGGGTTCACCACCAGGGCTGATTAGGCACTGTTGCAATCTATGAACTCCCCGACGCACCTACTCTATGGCACCAATTCCGAGACCTTCACTTAACATTTCTGAAGTCAAGGTGTGTCTACAGTCCATGAGTCAGAACTCAAGCAGGGAAATGGAAAGCACTCTAGTGCTTTTAACAGAGAGAATTTAACATAGTGACTTGGTTAGGCAGGCACTGGGGAATTGAGATGTCAAAGGGGGATCTCTGAAGAGGGGTGCTGCCCGTATGGTGCTGACACTTTGGGGGGCTTGGAAGAGGGGCCCTCAACACCTGGCTTACCTTCAAGGGCGGGCAGCGGCCCACTGGGGCTGCTACTCTGAGGGGCACCATGTTCTGGGGAGGAGACATAAGCTGGCAACTAGACTCAACTGCCAAGTTCACTGCTGGGACTGGTAGGAAATTCAACCAAACCAAAAGGACCGAGCTCCTTGTCCCTCCTCCTCTAATTCCCCTCTTGTCAAAGGGCAGATGAGGCATGCAGGTCCCAGCCCCTGCATCACAGAGCAGAGCACTGAGGGTAAGCTTGGAGCTGAGAGATAATAGCTTAATAACCAGCACAGTATCCTATACCTTTAATTGGCAGGTTTTCTCTTTCTCTTTCTCCCTCCCTCCATCCCTCCCTTCCTTCTCTGCAGTTCATGTAACAGTGTTTCTTATATGTGATGACATCTTCAATTTGATGAACTACAGCACTAATTGTGAGGTTGAACTAATCTCCTCGAACACGGTCAGCCAAACCCCTATGGCAATATTACTATTAGCCGCTCTGTGCCACGACACCAATCACTCGTCCGTGAACATATCCCTAAGACCTCATGCTTGAGAGGCGTGACTTGTTTGGGGGCCTCGAGACCTGGGTCCCTGCACCAGTTGTAGCTTTTATGAGCTAGGTGACTTTGTACTTGATTGCTCTGTGTTTTCCTTTCCTCACTTACAAAATGATCATAATAGCTCACACTTACTGAACTCTTGCTATATGATAAACGCTGTTCTAAGCACTTTACATGAATAGCTCATTTGCTGCTCAAAATGATCCTATGAGGTAGGTACTTTATTATCCCTATTTTATAGATACATTCACCAGGATATAGACAAGTTGGAAATTTATTTTAGGTCATACAGCTAGTGAGTCAAGAAGCTAGAGAAAAACATCATAGCTTCTCACAGGATATTTTTTCCCTAATGATTCAATGAGTTAACAAATATTAAATTATTTTGTAAATTGCAAGAAGCTAGGGACTTCTAAGGGGCCTTTGTTATTACTTTTGGGAGTTAGGAACACTTAAATTCCAGGCTGGGGCTCTTTACCCTAGTTGTTACTTATCTCAAACTTTCCATTAAACTTTTTCCCCTTCCTACATCTTCTTGGAGAATCCCAATGCTAATGACTTTTGCAGCTCAGTGATGATGGTACAAAGACTACTCATTGCAACATCCTCTATATTGGTGCACAACTTCTAATGGTGAACAACTGAAACAACCCAAGTGTCCTTTAGCAATGGACTATTTAAGTAAATTATGCATCTGTATAACGGCAATTATGCACACACATCAAAGCACAAGTGGGAAGATCAAGATATATTGTTAAATGCAAAGGGCAGGGTACAGAACTTTGTGTATAATGTGCAACAATTTGTGTGATAAAGAAGTGTGTGTGGGGGGGTGGGGGTGCATGTGTGTGTGCATGCAGAGATAGACACAAACCTTGGAAGAGATACACAAAAAAGTGGCACCACAGGTTGCCTCCAGGAAGGGGATCTGATTGGACAGAAATGCAATGGAAACTTTCTACTTGACATTTATTTGGTCCTTTTGAAAGTTATGACACATGAATGTATTAATTATTCAAAATATAAACATAATCTCCCAGTCAAAAAATTAATGTAAATGGATGTCATAATGAGGGGAAATTATGATTTGGCCAAGACTTAAAATAGAAATTCTAATCTAGGCTGACCGCCCTTATTCCGACGCAGAAGGTCACAAACTCAGGCTTCAATACGATGAACCCAAAGGCACTAATTTCAGTGATTAGGGAGACCTCAAAGCCCAGTGAGAACACACTGGTGCCGCATGTCTGTGCAGTGCTCACGGCCCTTCCCTTCAGTCTTCAGAGGAACTGACATGTCAGCCTTAAGAAGAGAGCGGGGCGGTGGTGGGAAGACCTGCACCCTCACGGCATCGAGGGCTTTCACAAGCATATCCACTCGGCAAATATTTAACGAGTGCTAGACATTGGCTTTACCATCAAGAGTAAGTCATCCCTGTCCTCACCCTCACGGGGTTTTAAATCTAGTTAGGGACACAGAAAAACACAGTGTCACACAGACGTCAATGAGGAGTAAAGATATTGAGGCTGAGAGTGTATAAGTGGGACCTGTGCCTGTCACTGGCCTGTCTCTCCAGGGAGTCCTTCCATGCCCTGCTGTCTCAAAGGGAACGACATTTCCCAGGCTCCCTTGCTTCCCGGCTCCCTGGTAGGACTGGCCAATGAGAGGCCTGACGTTAGTCTCCCCTGGGGAAGAGGAGAGGCTTGGTATCTCCCTCCCTGTCTCCCTGCTCCCACCGCAGCAGGTGCATCTGCTCCATGGCCCCAGCCTTCTTTCTGTGGTGCCAGCCACCTGCCCCCCGCCACCGAGTGGGCCTGGCTCATGGGCCCCAGCAGTGCCCCCCCATCCCAGGCATGGTAGCAGCTTGTCTGTGAAAAAGGGATTTCTCACAACAAGCCAAAATGTTCTCCCTGTAGCTCCATCTCTGGTCCCAGTTCTGCTTCTTGAGACCTCACAACACAAACCCCTGTGGATGCAGAGTCCAGGGTAAGTCAAGTTTGTGAAGAGGTTGTTGAGAGAGGGGAGGCAAGAAAGGAATGAGGCCAGACTCAGAGGGCTCTTGGATGTTGAGCAGAACAACATGTTGCATAACCCGTAGACAGAAAGAAATACAGGGCTGGGTCAGAAATCAGACCTCGACTCCTATGCAGTCCAGTTAAACTGGACTTTTGAGGCTAGGATGATAGTCATGATATTCACAGCAATAATGTTGGCATTAGTTGGTGGTTCTCAGGGCTGGCGGCTCATCAGATCCACCAACAGCACAGAAAAAGAGAGACTCTTGGGTCCATCCCTAGAAAATCTCAATCCTTGATGCAGACTCAAGGAGAGAGCTTTAGAAGAGTCTAGAAAGAGCATGGCTTTTACATAAATTATCTCTTTTCGTTCATTTCCTCTTTCACACCTGTAGCCAGCAGCACCCGTGAACTGGACAACTCACAGAGAAGGAGATGGAGGTGTTACGAGGTCGGGGCCACTCGGATGTGGCTAAAACTGCCTGGACAGGGAAGACGCATCAGTCTCCTGTGCATGGCTGTCTACTACCAGAGAGAATCCACTCCTCCACCCCATCATTCCCCTACGAACACGGCTACTGTGTCTTGGCCCTCATCCCTCTGCAGCCACTGTCCCTTGTCTCAGCTTCCTTTTAGAGTGAAACGCCTTAAAGAATATTGTCTGCCTCCCCTTCTTTCCTCATCCCACTTTGATTGGATCCTTGCTACCACTCCCCGGAGACTGCCTTCGTGAAGAGCATGAGGAACACGCACCCTGACAAACACAGCTGACAACGCTGTCTCCCCCGGGACAGCTTCTCAGCAGCATCTGATATGGTCGACCATACGCTCTTTCTGGAAACACAGTCTTCTTGGGACATCTGGGGTCCCACCCCCTGTTTTCTCCCTGCTGACCTCCCCTTCTCAGTCCCAAAGCTGGTCTGTCCTCTCTCTCTACACTCCCTCCTTGGGTAATTTCAGCCAGTCCCGTTACCTTAATTGATGACAATTCCCAACTATATCTCTGGCCTGGACTCATCTCAGCCCAGACTTATATATCCAACTGCCTCCTCAGCATTTCCAGTTGCAGTCCAGCAGACATCTCAAGCCATGCATATTTGAAATGGAACTCCTCAGTTCCCACGGCTGACCCCCCAACAAATACATCCAAACTCCTCTTCCCTCAGTCTTCCCCATCTGAGTGAGTAAAGCCTCCACCTTCCTAGTGGCTTAGACCAAAAATCTGGGAATAATACTTCCCTCTCTTATTTTCCTTCTGACCTACATGCAATCCATCACCGATTCTTACTGATACTGCTTCCAAAACATATCCCAGAGCAAAGCACTTCTCCCATTTTCAGCCCACAGCGCCGCAGTGGTGCAGACCACCGACTTCTCACACTCTAACAAATGCAGGGGCCCTTGGGTAGCTCCAGCTTCCACTCGTGCCCTGCTGTATAACTCATGGTCCACACAATAGCCAGAGTGATCCTTTCCAAGCAAACACTGACATACTTCCCCTTACTTAAAACCTTCTAGTGGCTTCCCACTACAATGAGGATAAACTCCTCACCTGGGCCTACCAAACCTTGCATGAGATGGCCTTTGCCACACCATGCAATACTCGTGTTTTCATGCTCACAAGCCTTCCTGCCATCTCTTGGGAGTGCCAGGCTGCTCCCAAGGGTCATGACCCCTGTCCTGGGCACCCATCAATTCATTGTACGAGTCTTATCTCACTCAAGTGATTGAAATGCCTCCTCTGACCCTATCTGATGCAGACACTCCCCTCAGCGGCAGGGTCCATCCCCCATAACCCTATCACCCTTTCTATTTTTCTTTGCAGCCTCGACAACACAGGATATTAGCCCACATTTATTTGTGTTTACATTAGCATGTGCCCTACTAGAGTATCAGCTCCA